TATTGTTCTACTTGAATACTTGATTTAGGTTTATTTTTTTGGTTGGAGATGATAGATAAAAGTGCTTCCTGAAGTGTCTCCATACGGAAGAAAAAGCACAAACCCTCTGTTCCCACAGTATGTAACAGAACCTTACTGCCATGTCAGTTCAGACTGGATATATACTGTATATATATTACTTGGGATTATTTCTACTGGTTATTTATAGTAGGTGAAAGTCTGTAAAAAATACTGAAATGACATACTGAAATGACTGAAATACTGAAATGACAGATTGAGACAGGACTAAAATCCCAGAAATACACTAGTAATATTTAATTTAGCCCACCCTCCCCATGTAAAACTAATCCAGCCTGAATAGGGCTTAACATAACTAAACTAAAAACAAACTGAGGCTGAATTTTAAATGAAAACTGAACATGTATAAAAAGCAAATCTATAACTAGATAGGTAAAGTTGTTCACAACAAACTTTGATGTTGGCTTGACAAAGCCAGCCTGAAAGTTTGAAACGGTTTCATAAGCTTGAAGATAGTTTGAAGTTGAAACACAGAAAGAAAGAAAGAAAGAAAGGGTGACAGAGAGAAAGACAGACAGACAGTTGCTGATAGAAAGATAGATGACAAATAGAGTGATACAAGTAGAAAGTCAGATGGAGTGAGAGTGACACAAGTAGATAGATGGAGAGAGAGTGTTATTAGTAGAAAGACAGAAGGAGTGAGAGAGTGACACAGGTCGATTAGTAGAAAGAAATTTGGAGAGAGAGGGTGAGTGAAGTGAGTGAAGTGACATGTGACCAAGTATGGTGAGTTCGGTGCCTTGCTCAAGGGTCTCACCTCAGTCGGGTTACTGAGGGTGAAAGAGAGCGCTGGTCATTCACTCCCCCACCTACAATCCCTGCCAGACCTGAGACTCCAACCCACGACCTTCGGGTTCGGGTTCGTGTGTGTGTGTGTGTGTGTGTGCTACTGATAGATTGATAGAGAGATAGGTGAAGTGAGAGTCACTGTTACAGGTACACTGACTTCAGGCCATGTGCACATGGAGTTGGAGTTTGAAATCTTGCCTCTCAGGATCTGAACATTCCGTCAAGGTTAGTCTATGGGAGTTTTTGGGATTTCTGATCATCTGCTATGGGAAAACCGTAAGTCAGACCACTTAAAAAATAAGTACAGCTTGATAAGTCTAAACAGCTTGAAGGGCTGTGCTGAGTTTGGTGAATGTAGCTTGAAAGGCTTAGGAGTTATAACAAGAGTTTGAGTTCCGTAAAGGAAAAAACACAATTCTGATCAGTTAGAAAAATCATAACACACTAACTCAGAACAGGCTGAAGGTCTGTGGCTGGGTTTGGTGGATGTAGCTTGAAAGCTCTAGGGGGGGCCCAAGGAAAAAAGGTTGGGAACCACTGCTCTAGGAGGAATAGTGTTTAGAAATTTTGCGTCTCGGAATAACAATAATAATAATAATAATAATAATAATAATAATAATAAAATATTTTTTGTCAAGCCAACATCATAATACTGGAGGATAGCTTTGAGAAAAAAGGGTCCATCTTTGAAACGCCAGTGCATGTGTTATAATGCTCTATAAAATGAACATCAATACTTTTTTTTGATAATATTTTGATACTTATGACCAATAGAGAGTTAATCCTACTATGATCATTTCACTATTTCACTATTCCAAGTACAGCAATGGTGCATACAGAACCGTGTACGCATGCAGTTACAGAAGTCTGTTGCTCAGTAATATTGTTTGCCTCTTCTATTCTGAACAGCAGGAAGTTGGTGGTGGCCATATGCTAGTGCCATATTTGTTTACAATCACACAAGCTTTATCTGAGAGTTCCTGCTTATCCTGCATGCAGAGAGGGAGAAATGCGGGGAAGCACAGAGGAGATGAAGAGCTGTAGGGGTGGGATGCAGCTGATGAGGAAATATCTCACGCCTGTAACTAGCCTGTGGCTCTCTGGACCTTAAGAGTATAGGACTGATAAAAAATGTCTGCCTCAGTGTCTGAGCTATGGCTCCCCACTGTACTCCAAGCTTATATGTGTTGCGAAATGTTGAGGTAGTACGATCATTAAGAGCATAGGTAACACACAAAATCTGTGAGAGGATGTGTGTATATAAAATCCGGAATGTCCTGCAATGACATAGCATTATCAAGTGTCCCATTGGTCAGGATCAAAACAGAAAAGCTAAATAAACATATACTCTTTATAGCAAACTGGACAGGAAGTAGGCATCCTTACCTGGTGTGCTCACAGGGTGTCTGGTGAATGACACATTAAAGGCGGGCTCTTCGCTCAGAGGAGATGGATACATGCGTCGGCGAATGAAAAAACCGGCTCCGCAGCAGAAAAGCACTCCCATCATCAGCAACAGCCTAATGTACAGGCAGTCAACGGAAATAAGAGGAACACCATCATGAGTATGTTCTATTACATTCATCTCTGTGCATTATCCTAACTTCATTGCAGCTCCCATTTACTGGGTATATTATTAAATCTGAAGCTTTTACAACATCCGAGAAACATCGCTCCCTACATTTACAGTATATTGTCTTTCAGAGTTCGTCATTTTAGAGATCGTGTTCAAGGCTATCGAATAATCTGAAACTGTGTGTGAAACTGGTAGTGGTTCTTGGATGTTAAAAATAAAGCTATGTAATTCTCTTAACTATCAGGTGTGCCTCCAATTTGGCTGTAATGAAAGCCCGACCCTTTGCGGATAAGATTGAAGACTCCTGCCTTAGAGTCTTCATTATTTTTTCATCTTAAAGCATATTATTCAGTAAATATTATATAGTATTTAATGAAATTCCATTCCGTTTCTTTTGCATGGTGCTTTTTACAATAGATATTGTCACAGAGCAGCTTTACAGAAATTCAGACGTAGAATTAGATCCCTAATGAACAAGCCGGAGGTGAAAGTGGCAAGGTAAAACTCCCTGAGACGACATAAGGAACAAAGCTTCAGTGGGACCAGACTTTAAAGAGAACAATCCTCTTCTGAATGACATCAGATAGTGAAATTCTAAAAATGTAAACTACATTATATAACTATATAAAAATATAAATTGTATTATATCCTTTTTTCTGCAGCTGTTTACTATTAGGTCAGACAGTACTAAGTGTGTTGAAAGGATGTTTAGTATGAGTATCATAGTCTTTATGGTTATAAGACCTGTGGCATAAGCTGCTTTTGGAATGTAATAAATATAGTTATCCTAAAGCACCATAATAAAACTATGGCAGGACTGTGGTTTTGTATATAGTAGCAGTACCATGGTTTGGTTTGATATTTGTAGTAAAAAACATAGAGTATCACACTGAAACTACAGTGTATCATATCAAAACCATAATAAAATATAGTGGATTTTCATAAGAAAAAAAAAAGCCAGCATTAATAAACTGTTTTTTATAAAAGTCTACATTAGTATTTAAAAAAGAAATAGTAACAAGTTCACTTCGTTAAAAGGAATCAAACAAAATCAAACATTTGTATCTTCGGATTAAAGGCGTCAGACCAAAACCGCTCCCTTTGATATGTGTGTTTAACCTTTCTGTAACTGGACAGAGTTTTCAGCAGCATAAAATGAAAAAAAAAAAATAACCAGAGGAAGTGCGAGATGGAGGAGATTAATAACTCTGAGTCTATCTTTCGGTCCACACACAGCAGGTGACATACAGCCCTATAAGGCAGAGTATTGATCGGTGAAGGCAGGAAGCAGAGCTGTTTACTCTACTGCACCAAGGCTGGGCATGCTACAGGTGTTGGTATATGATTTATCACACCACAGTGTAGCAAACTATTTATCAGGTGCATGATATGCTTGTTTAAAATGTTTAGTATCTGAATGACATATAAAAAAATAACTTTTACCAGAAGTACCAGAGCCTCTGGATGGACAGAGCACGCACACAGCAGCGAGTCCCACAACAGTCCTCATACGAACGGCATCTGTCCATACACAGGAGATAGAGTTAGATGAAGCAATATCCAAATGCATACGTAGACAATGTAGGGGAAGTAAACAAAGAAAGCAGCAGGTATTAAAAGTTATTAAAGGTTACAGATCACATTATTTATGAGGTGGTCTTGTGAAACCCATCAGATGTTGCTGTGGCAAAAAATCAGGTTCTGGGTTTTTCTGCCTAACATACTTGATACCTTAACTTTAAGAAACCATAAATATATTTCACTAACACAATGTGGAAATGTTGCTTTTTTTAGGCTATCTTCCTGCAAATATCATGTTGGGTAAGGAGCCAATTTAACAAACAGTGGTAAAACAGTCAGTCTGACTAAAGATGTCTAAAACTTTGCTAGTTAAGCGTGATTTTTCTCACACGGTAAATGTCATGCATTGGGCCTCACTTATCAACCTTTTAGCAAAGTTATGTGTAAATGTTCGCCAAACCGAACAAACATTTTCTGCCGGATTTTCAAAAGTTTTGGAAACACTAATTTTCTTCTTACTCGCATGTGTATATTAATCATCCGTAAAGTGCAAAGCATATTCCCAACACAGCTCATTTGCGTTTAATGATGCCCAAAAATTCCATATAGGTTCAAGTGTACAGAGGGCTGGAAACAAAGGAAAGGCCAGAAGTGGAAGTTATTTTGACTTGCTTCTATGCCAATAACATATTTAGCACTATAACAGCACCTGAAAAGGTCAGAATCTAGAGACAGATTACAGAGAAGGTGATGCAGGTGTGAATTCAGTGAGCTGACATGCAAATAGTGTGACATGACAGTGGAGGAGAAAAAAAGATCTACACTGTACCCAGGAGATCATGCACACTGAGCAGGTCACACAGGGAAATGCTATTTTAAAATTGTTTTAAGTGCCTTGGCTGACATACTGGAAGTGTTGCACAGCATCAAAAGACGATGCTGTGGCAAACTGAACCATTTCATAAGCCAGGTTTTATCCTCCGAAAATATGATGCCAGCCTTAAAACATCCTTACTCTCAGAAGCATGACCTTGGGTCCCTGGAGGACTAGTGGTTAGGCCTCAGTGCCCTCAACGCTGCGGCCCGGGTTCAATTTCCGGCCAGGGAACCAATCCCAGCCACTGGGGTTGCACAAGACAATGCACTTCCAGTGCCGGTCCCAAGCCCGGATAAAATTGGGGACCGTTGCGTCAGGAAGGGCATCTAGCATAAAAACTGTGTCAAATCAAATATGCGGACCAATGATCCACTGTGGCAACCCCTAATGGGAGCAGCCAAAGAAGGACAACAACCCTCAGAAGCATAACCTTAATCTTCTGTCAGCTGAGGCTTTAGTTTACGGCTTACTGCTATGCGCAGACAGACCGCCCATCCTCTGTTTATACGGCGAGATTTCTTTTTTGTCTTAATTTTTGGGGTTGTGTTGGCTTGCTTTCTATATTTTTTTCAGATTTTTTAATTAATGCCATTAATATAGTTTTCTAAGCCCCTGAACTAGTGATCTTGCATAAGGCTGTGTTTTTGATAGAGACTACAAAGCACTTCTATAAGTGGATAAGGGGGTCTACTAAATGCTGTCAATGTAATAAAAATACGCAATTTATACTCGACAATATCTTCCATATATAAAAGTTTTTCAAAATAATGCTTGCAAATGATACAATTTGAAGTCGATCAAGTCAAGGTTTCCATTAGCTCTTATTAATTCTTATGCAAAAATTTACACACACTCAGGAGCACAAGTAGGATACGAATGTTTTTCTGAAATTATGGTATTTTCATGAATACTAAAATTTCTTGTGTAAATGTTCTTACAAAAGAGTTATTAATAAATATCCATAATAATAATAAATGTTCATATCCAGCTTGATAAATGAGGCCCACTGATCAAGTTGTTAGATAGCTACATGCTGTAGTGAAAAGGACATAAACCTCATAAGAACATAATCAATTCAGTGTGTAATCGGATACCAGCTCTCAAAATGTCTGCAATGCTCCTGCGCCACAATCAGAGTGGAATCTTTAAATACAATTTCCTCCTGTTTCCGTTTTGAAGTAACCAGAGTTTAAAATGCTATAACTTTACCTGAGATTGAGATACATAGAGAAGAGAAACTTATTTGATATCCATATATGCATATATCCATGCATAAGCCTTTACATCGAAAATACACCCAGTGGACCAGCTGCAGTAACGTTAATTAATAAATAAGGAATAACAGACATTGGACATACGACATTAATCAGAGATTCAACAAAGACACCAAAGATAACACTGAAGGAGCTGCAAAGATTCACAGTGGAGATGGGAGTATCTGTCCATAGGGCAGATTTAAGCCATACACTCCACAGAGTGGGGCTTTGCGGAAGAGTGGCCAGAAAAAAGCCATTGGATAAAGAAAAAAACAAAACAAAACAAGAAATCACGTTTGGAGTACGCCAAACAGCATGTGGCAAACTCCCCAAACACATGGAAAAAGTTTCTCTGGTCAGATGAGAATAAAATTTAAGTTTTTGGCCATCATGGGAAATGTTATGTATGGAGCAAGCCTAACACTTCCCATCACACCAAGAACACCATTCCCACAGTGTAGCATGGTGGTGGCAGCATCACGCTGTGGGGATGCTTTTCATCAGTAGGGACTGAAAAACTGGTCAGGATTGAAGGAAAGATGGTTAGCACAAAATACAGGGCAATCAAATCTACACTGGAATGGTTTAAAGCGAAACATTTAAATGTTTTGGAATGACCTAGTCAAAGCCCCGACCTCAATTCAACTGAGAATCTGTGGCATGACTTGAAGATTGCTGTACTCCAACAAAACCCATCTAACTTTAAAACAATCTCAGTGTGCTAAGCTAATAGAGACATACCCCAACAGACTTGCAGTGGTACCCAAATGGTTAAAGAAAACCCAAAAATTCCATTTTAATTCCAGGTTGTGACGCAGCAAAACAGGAAAAACACCAAGGGGTGAATACTTTTGCAAGACACTGTATACATATGTCTTTGTTAAATAACAACACATTAAAAAAATCCATTTATTATTAGCACTAGATTATGTTGACCGTCTGCCATACAAATCCCTCTGAATGAAGTGTTACTATAGAAAAGATAATGAATGAATAATGAGATTGAGCAAATTAATATAATCCTGTCATCTGAATTGCAGCTGGTGTTAAAACTGTTTTTAAAACAGAGAAAATTAATCAACACCTTTTGATAAATCAGATTCGAGAATTCAGCAGCACTGTAGTATAAAATGAAATTTGGAACCCTTCAACCACAATAATGACTGTTCAGACTGCTCTTCCTGAAATGTCTAGATTTGCTTTATGATTGGTCTAATGATGTCCTAACTTGTTAGAAGACAAAAATCTGAGGACTCAACCCATCACACAGTTGAGTCATCCTCCCTGAAACCAGAGACTATCCAATTAGGACCTGTCAGGAGAGGCCAGGGCCCATTCCTCTCCCCAGAGATACACTGTGATGAAGTACTGCACCTTGGGTATCCATGGAAATGTCCTAAAACTGAGAGCAGCCCAGGTAAAGGGTTATGAATGTAAGAAGATTCTCTCTGGTACCCACGTATGCTCTGTTTGTTAGAATCATAATCTTTTCAGCTAGCAGCATTTTGTTAAACAGATTATCCCCTGCTGAGTTTCTCCACTTATGTCTTTCTTTGCACGGTCAAATGGAAAATTATCCAGGGGCACATTTCAGCGAATTTCATTTTCATGTTGCTTTTTTTCCCCCCATAATTGCTCGTCTTCAAATCGAAAATGAATTGCACTTCTCTGTTCAGACTGAAATGGGAGTAATCAATGCAGGTTTCTGCAGTTATTTCTACTGTCTAAAAAAAGGCACCGAATGGCTGGACACAAGTCCCAGTGCTTACACAACCTCATTTCCGTGGTGACTGTGCACCTGGAGCCTTGCCATGCCCCCAAGTGCTAAACTGTATATCTTTAGCCAAGCAAGCAGGCTCTCTCGTGCAAGAAGTGATCAATTATAAATGAAGAATGTGCTCGTGCATGCTCATGCATTCTGGTTTAAAGGATCTGATGAAGGATGCTGTGCAGGATTAATAAATCAGAATGTCCCGATCAGGAATGATAACAAGGCCAACACTGAATCAGCACGTGCTGAGACGTGGGAGGCGGAGGAGGATGCTATGATTGTATACCTGTCACACTGAAGCGCATGGGGACACTCCATTTCCCCTTAACCAGAAAGATCTGTCTGAGCATTTGAAGCTTCAGTGACTGGACAAGGCAAGCAGTGCTCTCTAATCAAGTGTCAGGACACACAATTCTCTTCTGGTCCAGTTGACTGAAAAGACCAGCTAACAGTCCCAGGCACATGCATGTAAAGAAATGTGCATCTGTGAAGTGAAGATGCTTTAAAAAAAAAACAGATCCAGATCAAATCAGTATTAGGTGTGATCCTCATTTGCCTTTAAAATTGCATCAATACTCTTATGTTCACTGAAGTGCAGTTTTATGAAGAAAATGTCTGGAAGTTTTTTTCTAATCTCTGAAAACTTGTAATTATTCTTCAGATTTTACTTTCTTGATGAACCATATAGTTGTGTATTACAAATAGCATATTTTTAAAATATGCTTTCAATCCCTGTCCCACCCCAAAAAAACATGTTTAATGAAATCTGCCTTTTGCTCAGTGCTCTATATTCATTTTGAAAAGAACAGTTTTGGCATTAAACAGTGATTGGAAAATATGGAAATTTTAGCTGTTTGACTCTGAGAGTTACCGCAATAAAGAAAAAAAAAACTATTGGAATCCAATAGCATGAATAATCAGTCTTAATTACATAAACATAGACTTTACTTTACAGTGATATATCATCTGATATGCATACACTGTATCAAATTCACTTACGCAGGCGTTTGACTGGAGGAAAGAGAAAATAGATTAACAGCATCAAATGCAATTGCACAACTCTACTTTTCTCCAACCCAGAGGACACTGCACAGAGTCAGATTACTCCATATAGTGTAATGGAGTAACATAAGCTGAATCACGCTGCCTATAGATCTGATCAGATCAGGTTTAAAGTCAAACAGCATGCCCACATGCTATGAAGCATGAATGACAGGTGACGACATGAGCACTGAACATCCAGGCATGACATATAAGTGAGGCAGTGGTCACAGGTCACAGGTCACAGAGCAAACTGGTTTGTCAGCCAGCTATGTGTGACCTAAATGCCTGATGCATTTAAATAATCCACTGTGAGTTGCTTCCAGCGTGAAACACGTTGGTCTTTCTCTGGGCTACAGTAATCCAGCGCTGCTCATCTATTGGACTTAATATTACGAAAAGAAGTACAAACTGAATTTTGTTTAGTTTCATATAAATAAGAACGAACGCTGCCTCTTCCCTAACTTTTGCCATTGCAACTTTTTATGCAAATTACATCATGCAAATGGTCTTTATTTTTCTTCTGTGATGGAATTCCTCAATTTATCCAATTCTTTAATACTATTTAAATTCTTTACTCTTATTTAAATGCTTAATTACTTCTTTATTTTATATATTTTATTATTTTTTTTATAATTTATTCTTTTGTATATTCTCTATTTTCTGCATTTTTTTATTTGCCTTTTTTCCTTTGTAAAGATCTATCTATCTATCTATCTATCTATCTATCTATCTATCTACTTGCAAACTAATGCAACTCTACAAATCTAACAGTATTCAATACATAATATAATAATAAATATTGATTTACTCTTCTGCATTATTCTCTGTATTACTGAATTTGGATGTTATCTAAATTCAATTTATTATTATTATTATTATTATTATTATTATTATTATTATTATTATTATTTTATAAAAATGGCTAGGAAAGAGGCTACTTTTTTCCCCCCATCACTGCCTATAATAACAGAAACATATTTAAACTTAAACTTTAAATAGAGTAAAGCTCAGCATAGGAGCTCATCTTCCTTCACAAAAACATGATAAAGCACCATGTCTTAATACGCTGTTCAATACAGACTGATGGACGGTCTAAAAACGTCCATTTATCACCTTCTTAAATTGATCCTCCTCCTCTGTGAAAAATGTATGAAGCTTCC